ACATGTTCGAGGTAAAATTCGTTCCCCGATCTGTTTGAATTACTTTTGGTAACCCGAACATAGAGCAGAACTTAACCAACTCTTTAATCACTGCTTTTGTGGTGATAGAATGCAGAGGCAAGGCTTCCGGGTAGCGTGTAGCTGTACACATTATTGTGAGGATATATTGGTGACCGGACATAGCTTTAGGCAAGGGGCCTACGCAATCAAGGATGAGTCTTTCGAAAGGCTCTCCTATAACAGGAATAGGTTGAAGCGGAGCTTGAGGGATCACCTGATTAGGCTTACCCGCAAGTTGGCAGACGCGACAAGACCGAACAAATGCAGACACTGAAGACTTCATACTTGGCCAAAAGAAATGCCTAGCAATACGATCATGTGTTTTTGTAACTCCAAGGTGTCCCGAGCAAATATGCTCGTGGGCCAGTTTCATTATTTGAGTTCGATAGCCGGTAGGGAGAACGACCTGATAAACTCCCTCACGTTCAGAGTCAGACGGCTTCCACCAGCGCATTAGTACACCATCGTCCCAACAATAACCTACCGGCGCATCTGCGTTCAAATAATGAAACTGGCCCACGAGCATAGAGAGGAGTTAGGGAAGACCTCTGTATTTCTTTTGGGAATTTTTATTTTGTTAGGCAATTTGGGCTTCTCTAAACCCTTAGTTAGTTTCTCTTTGGTTTGTTATTTTGGCCTGGATCCCCTTCCGAAGAGATGTGCTTCCAAACGTCAACTCAAAGATGTAATAAACAGACTTTCGCTTGTGAATAAACCTCTATTGTGGTCATTGTGAGCTGGAACAGGAGAGGAGCTAAATTATTTCTTTAACTTTATTCTTGTCATCGGCCTTACCAACCCACAGTCTTCCATTCTGGGAAGAGGGAAAGAGTCAGCTTTAGTTATATTATTTACTTTGCGGAAATCAGTACAGAACCGAAGGGAGCCGTCAGATTTGGGCACAAGAATGCAAGGCGAACTCCATGGGCTCTGACTGGCGACAGCAAAACCATTACACACCAAGTACTCTACCTCATCCTTCATTACTTGACGTTTACACGGGTTAACTCGGTAAGCATGCTGTTTTATGGGCGTGCTTTGACCCACATCGATGTCATGCACCAACACGTTAGTTTGAGAGGGAACATCGTTAAACAAAGTGGGATACTTGTTAACCAATTCAATAATATCATTGCGGTGTTCCTCAGACAGATATGAGAGATATGTCGGCAGTGTGGACAGAATGGCAGAGTTTGAAAGCCTCCCACAAGAGGTTTGAGCATCTTTGCCAATTAAACCATTTACCTCCGGCATATAACCAGCAGGCAGACCAACAACATTCATTGCAGACACACTGTTAGCTACAGGGTTAACACCAGATTCATTTCGGTCAACAAACGCTTTCAGCATATTTATGTGGCAGACCCTGCTTGTACGTCGTCGATCGGGAGTGAGAACAGTGTAATTTGTATCACTCAGTTTCTTTTCTATCTTATATGGGCCAGTAAATCGAGCATGCATGGGAGAACTGCGTACAGGCAACAACACGAGTACGGAATCTCCAGGTTGAAAACTACGAGCAACACTCTTCCTGTCATACCTGGTTTTCATCTTGGCTTGAGTGTCGGAAAGATGCTGCTTAGCGACATCCCAAGCTTTATGGAGATGCTCACGGAACGTACTCACATACTCCAGGATTGGCACGCGGGGAGAATCTTTAGAAATTAACTGTTCATGGATTAACTTCAAAGGTCCCCGAACTGTATGTCCGAACACATATTCGGCGGGGCTGAACCCTAAGGACTCTTGCACAGTGCTTCTTACAGCCAGCATTAAAAGGGGCAATCCATCCACCCAGTCTTTACCGGTTTCGACACAATACGTGCGCAGCATTGACTTGAGCGTCTGATGGAAGCGCTCGAGCGCACCTTGCGACTCTGAATGATATGCGCTTGACATTTCATGTTGTACTTGCAGTTCTTTCACCAACTGTTCGAACATGTTCGAGGTAAAATTCGTTCCCCGATCTGTTTGAATTACTTTTGGTAACCCGAACATAGAGCAGAACTTAACCAACTCTTTAATCACTGCTTTTGTGGTGATAGAATGCAGAGGCAAGGCTTCCGGGTAGCGTGTAGCTGTACACATTATTGTGAGGATATATTGGTGACCGGACATAGCTTTAGGCAAGGGGCCTACGCAATCAAGGATGAGTCTTTCGAAAGGCTCTCCTATAACAGGAATAGGTTGAAGCGGAGCTTGAGGGATCACCTGATTAGGCTTACCCGCAAGTTGGCAGATGCGACAAGACCGAACAAATGCAGACACTGAAGACTTCATACTTGGCCAAAAGAAATGCCTAGCAATACGATCATGTGTTTTTGTAACTCCAAGGTGTCCCGAGCAAATATGCTCGTGGACCAGTTTCATTATTTGAGTTCAATAGCCGGTAGGGAGAACGACCTGATAAACTCCCTCACGTTCAGAGTCGGACGGCTTCCACCAGCGCATAAGCACACCATCGTCCCAACAATAACCTACCGGCGCATCTGAAATTTGCGTTCTGTCTGCAGCAGCACTGATACATTTGCTCAATGATACATCAGATTTATGAGCAGCAAGTAATTGTATTCTACCCACTTTTAAGGGAGCCTCATCCTCTTTCAAATACTCATCACCTTGGGGCAGTTGCGGCTGAACAAGCAGTTTACATTCAGCACCCTCCGGCGAAGAAACCAAGAACGAACTGGAAAGATCAAGTACATCCTCAATTTTTTTCTTCTGGGCGCGAGTCACAGCGCAACTGATATATTTGCTCAATGATACATCAGATTTTTGAGCAGCAAGTAATTGTATTCTACCCACTTTTAAGGGAGCCTCATCCTCTTTCAAATACTCATCACCTTGGGGCAGTTGCGGCTGAACAAACAATTTACATTCAGCACCCTCCGGCGAAGAAACCAAGAACGAACTGGAAAGATCGAGTACATCGTCAAATTTCTTCTTCTGGGCGCGAGTCACAGCGCACGACGGAAAAAGAGAAGGGAACTGAGAGAGCACGTCATCTTGGCCGCTTAAATCAGGTTCTGCAGACACGATCGGGTACGGGAAGACATTGGTTCCAGCCAAATCATTACCTAGGATCATGTCTACACCCTCCACAGGTAATTGTGAATGCACACCGATACTCACAAAACCAGAAATAAGGTCAGATTTCAAATGGATAGTGTGCAGTGGCACTGAAGTGCAGCCCATTTCAATACCACGAATGAGCACATTGTTACCGGTGTACGATTTTGACGAGAACGGCAGCCACTTCTCAAATAACACTTTCTTTTCACCCGCAAACTCCACGAACGTTTGCTTGGCTGTCTTTGAGCAAGCCCTGAACTTCTGCCGATACGCCTCCGGTACCAGTTCGTAAGCTCTCAAAACAGCCAGTTTCACAACGTCATAATTTAGTGAATCTTCAATTGGCAAAGCCGTACAAACTTCTTGGGCTTTGCCAACAAGATTGCACTGCAACAGCAATGCCCACATATCTCTGGGCCATTTTAATTTAGCCGCGACCCGTTCAAAAGCCACAAAGTACGAGTCCACTTCGGTTTCACGGAATGGAGGTACAAGTTTAACGTACTTACCTACAACGAAGTCAGGTTGCCCAACCTCAGAACTACTGGAAGGGGGCCTAGTGCGCGGTGGTGGGACTAATTTACTACGCAGCATTTGAGCTTCCAGATCTAGTTTTCGTAGCATGATATCCCGATCAGACTTTATCTCCAACTCTCTTAATCGGAGCAACCGTGTTTCGTGTTCCTGTTTCTTTAATGCGAGATCTAATTCCTTTAAACGAACAGTTACCATCGGGCCTGCTACCGGCGGAGCTTTGCCTCTGCGTTCTATCACCACAAAAGCAGTGATTAAAGAGTTGGTTAAGTTCTGCTCTATGTTCGGGTTACCAAAAGTAATTCAAACAGATCGGGGAACGAATTTTACCTCGAACATGTTCGAACAGTTGGTGAAAGAACTGCAAGTACAACATGAAATGTCAAGCACATATCATCCAGAGTCGCAAGGTGCGCTCGAGCGCTTCCATCAGACGCTCAAGTCAATGCTGCGCACGTATTGTCGAAACTGGTAAAGACTGGGTGGATGGATTGCCCCTTTTAATGCTGGCCATACAAGGCACTGTGCAAGAGTCCTTAGGGTTCAGCCCCGCTGTGAGAGGTCCCGGGTTCAAATCCCGGACGAGCCCCCAATTGTCACGACCCGACCAGTCTAGGGTTGGTAAGGCGGGTGACAAGATTAAAATTAAAGAAATAATTTAGCTCCTCTCCTGTCCCAGCTCACAATGACCACAATAGAGGCTTATTCACAAGCAAAAAAGTTTGTTTATTACATCTTTAAATTGACGTTTGGAAGCACATCTTTTCAGAAGGGGATCCAGGCCAAAATAACAAACCAAAGGGAAACTAACTAAGGGTTTAGAGAAGTTCAAATTGCCTAACAAATAAAAATTCCCAAAAGAAATACAGAGGTCTTCCCTAACTCCCTCTCTGGCCAAAAAAACAGGAGAAAACGATGTTCACAAAATAAATGGCAATCCCCAACCTACTGCTTCAGAAATAACGAATAGGTGTTTACAAATAACGAATAAATGATACAAATAACGAATACTTGTTAACAAACAAAAACTCTTAAGGATCGGATTATGGAGGACTCAGATATAGCTTAGTCCTTGCAGTCCAGGAAAGCACCACTCAGAATGATTACTCGCACTATTTTCAACGGCAAGTCAATAACACCGTCGTTTAACAACACCACACAACCAACTGTTGTCTGGGCCAGGAGACAGAGGACGGAACGGCACGACACCCGGGGCGGAGCTTCACGACGCGCACACTACAGAAGCCCTCCATCGCTGCTCTGCTTCCCAGCATTTAAACGCTCCGGCTCACCACGCTCAAACAGAATTACTACTTGTCCAAATTGTCGCTAAACAGGAAGATATGAGAATGTTGGGAGTTAGAGGTCAAGTATTAATTTTTATTTTGTAAAATAAAAATGATTTTGATTATGATTTTCGCTGTAATTGAGCAGCACTAGTTACAGATTTGTTTGTTGTAATGTTTTATAGCACTCTTTACGTTCAGTTATTGCACACAACACTGTATACTTTAACTTGTCTGACACACAGAGGAGACAGGAACACTTTCCTGTCAACTTTCAGACGCCATGCAGCAAGGAACTGACTCTAGGTCTGACCCAGGACATGATACAAAAGAGAAAAGTGAGAGTAGCAGTGAACCTGAGGAGACACAAACAGGTATGCTTGCACATCATATCATTCATGTTTAGAGAGTTTACATTGGCTACAGTTAGTTATTCATTGTCATGTAACAAAAAATATGCAGAGGAGATGAGTTTATGACATTTACAAATAGGACTGTGTGTTTAATCAAATGTTATTTTAAATTATGATTCTGGATTCCAGCAATTATGAAAACAAGATAACTGGAAAAAGCAATTATTGTGCCACATTCTGCTTTGCAGTGATACAGCTGTATCTCAATAAATTAATAAATTATATATTTAATATATTGTATTGTATATATCGAATACATATTTAGTAGTTTTTCAGTAGGTTGTGGAGGTGGACTACAACATAGTTGATCTTATTTTTTCTGATTAAATGTATTTTTATATTATTTATTTAAATGTGTGTGTGTGTGTGTATCTCTAATTAAAATGTGTTTGTTGTAATGCTTTAAAGTGCTGTTTACGTTCAGTTATTGCACACAACACTATATACTTTTCTTTGTCTGACACACAGAAAAGACGACACAGATTCCCAGTGGTTCTGAGACCGAGAACCAACCTCACTCTGGCACAGGACCTAATAGAGAAGTGGATGGAGAAAAAGGCAGTAAACCTGAGAGAAATGAAGGTATTTTGTCTTAGAATAAAGCATATTATTGCATTTGCTTGCTTTCTATAAGTGTGGTTATGCATAAGCAGTTCTGAGGTTGGAACCAGGTCAGGAATCGGAGAGGAATCAGATTTAACAGCCACTGTCAACAAAATAGCAAAAACTTTTCTTCTGCTTCTACTTCCAGGCCCGTCAGGTGATTCTTTGCCAGAAAAGGCACCTAACGAAGATGATGGTGGGTCTGGTTTGCAGGAAATTATTACCATGCTTTTTAGACTCAAACAGAATTACTACTTGTCCAAATTGTCGCTAAACAGGAAGATATGAGAATGTTGGGAGTTAGAGGTCAAGTATTAATTTTTATTTTGTAAAATAAAAATGATTTTGATTATGATTTTCGCTGTAATTGAGCAGCACTAGTTACAGATTTGTTTGTTGTAATGTTTTATAGCACTCTTTACGTTCAGTTATTGCACACAACACTGTATACTTTAACTTGTCTGACACACAGAGGAGACAGGAACACTTTCCTGTCAACTTTCAGACGCCATGCAGCAAGGAACTGACTCTAGGTCTGACCCAGGACATGATACAAAAGAGAAAAGTGAGAGTAGCAGTGAACCTGAGGAGACACAAACAGGTATGCTTGCACATCATATCATTCATGTTTAGAGAGTTTACAGTGGCTACATTTAGTTATTCATTGTCATGTAACAAAAAATATGCAGAGGAGATAAGTTTGACATTTACAAATAGGACTGTGTGTTTAATTAAATGTTATTTTAAATTATGATTCTGGATTCCAGCAATTATGAAAACAAGATAACTGGAAAAAGCAATTATTGTGCCACATTCTGCTTTGCAGTGATACAGCTGTATCTCAATAAATTAATAAATTATATATTTAATATATTGTATTGTATATATCGAATACATATTTAGTAGTTTTTCAGTAGGTTGTGGAGGTGGACTACAACATAGTTGATCTTATTTTTTCTGATTAAATGTATTTTTATATTATTTATTTAAATGTGTGTGTGTGTATCTCTAATTAAAATGTGTTTGTTGTAATGCTTTAAAGTGCTGTTTACGTTCAGTTATTGCACACAACACTATATACTTTTCTTTGTCTGACACACAGAAAAGACGACACAGATTCCCAGTGGTTCTGAGACCGAGAACCAACCTGACTCTGGCACAGAAACTAATAGAGAAGTGGATGGAGA